TACATATCGGTTTATTTACAAGGTGAATCTTTGTCGCCGATGCTGTTTTCATTATTTGTAAATGATTAGGAAAATAAATTGATAAATTCTGTCAAAATTATGTATTACAAATGATTAACCTTTGTATGCTAATGTACGCGGATGATACAGTTTTATTCTCTGAGGACGCTACTGATCTTCAGCATATGTTAGATAAATTACAAACGTACACTGAAAAATGATATTTAAATGTCAATACAGACAAAACAAAGATTGTTGTCTTTAGAAAAGGAAAACGACTTGCATTTTGAAATTTGGACTTTTAATGGTAAATCTATCGAAATAGTTGATAAATTTTGTTACCTTGGTTAAGTTTTTAATTATAATGGAAGATTTACTGTCGCACAAGGTACATAAGCATCTCAAGGTAGAAAAGCATATTACCATTTAAATAGGAAAATGAAAGATTTTACCCTTCATGAGGAAACAAAAAGTTCATTATTCGATACATATGTTGTATGTATATTGAATTATGGATGTGAAGTATGGGGTTATATTTCATCGCCACAAATTGAAAACATCAATCTCCTTTTCCTTTAAGACTTATTAAATGTTAAGAAAACTGTTAATACTTCGATGGTTTACTTTGAAACTGGGATACATTCTTTATATGTGCAACGAAAGATAGCTATAATGAAATATTGGTTGAAAATTTCAAATACTAGCAACTGTGTTTTGAAGTCTTGTTACGATGCTTTAGTTGAATTGAACGTCAGCAAACTTAATTGTCAATTTATTTGGGTTTATCAAATTAAACATGAACTATGTAATTTGGGATTTAATCATATCGGGTTAAACCAAAACATATTTAATGAGAATACTTTTTTGCAAATGTACACACAACGTGTGTATGACGTATTTATTCAAGAGTTACGGAGTGCTTTTGATGTATCTTCCAAATGTTATCTGTACAAACATCTTGTGGATAAATTTGATATTAAGTTTTACCTTAGTAAGCCCATTAATGTTAGATTAAAACAATTACTGAGTCAATTTCGCATGCAACGACACAATCTTAACATTGAATCAGGTCGTTATTATAACATTCCCAGAAGTCAGAGAATTTGTAGTTTGTGATCAAAATGACATCGAGGAAGAAATACATTTTGTACTACTTTGTCCTACATATTCTGATTTAAGAAGTAGATAATTAAACAGTACTATTATCGCCATCCAAATGTCTATAAACTAACATAATTATTTCCCTGTAAAAGTTAGTTTTTTTTTAAACAAACTTGGTAAATGTCTTTTGCATGCCACAACTAAAAGAAAAACTCCCCTCGGTCAATAATTGTTATTATGTTTCCTAGGTCAATAATTGTTATTATGTTTCCTCGGTCAATAATTGTTATTATGTCTCCTCGGTCAATAATTGTTATTATGTCTCCTAGGTCTATAATTGTTATTATGTCTCCTAGGTCAATAATTGTTATGATGTTGGAATAATTTCTGAAAAATTACTGCTGTTGGATTAAAGGTAATAGACTTTTAATGTTCGTTAATTGCATACCGAAAAATACTTTATATCAACCTTTCGTGTATTTTTGGATAATTTAGTTTCTGTAGTGGTGTTGCATGTGTTGCCAAATTTCAGTCATGTTTATTGAAATGCTGTTTGTTTTCGAATATTTGCTATAATATTTCTGTCATGCTGTTATAATGAAACGTCTGTACATAATTATGTCTTCGAATAGAATTGTCCTCTGCCATCTTGTACATTACTTCAGAATTTGACACAATTAAGTATGTATATCTGTATCCTATATGCCGTATTTCGTTTGGAATAAATAAACTTGTAACTTGTAACCCAGAGATGGAGGGCTAGTGATAAAGACGGCCAGGTGCCTTAACCATTCCACCACACTGAACCCTGAGAGAGAAAGGATGATGTCATAGTTTATAGCCAAAGTCTCCTTGTTAAACAAGAAAATCATTTTGGTTACATTTTATGTCTTCAAAAGTGTTAAACATAGAAAGCTTCATTTGTTTAACCATGTTTCAACTCATTAACTAAAACATGTAAATACGAAAATAAAATCAACTCCTCCGTGATTTTCACCCAAAGGTCACCAGGTGCATAAATTTAATACAAAGTACATTTAACATCAATACAGTTACAAAAAAATAACAGCATTCCATTCAGAATATCTGGAAATATTAAGTTATTTGGAGACAGCAATAGAAAGTTAAACAGATCTATCCAGAATGCATTGATGAACAAGTGACTAATTTGCTTGGGGACCAATATTCCAGAGTTGTCCATCCAAGTCGGGGCTAGTTCACACAAATAAAATTTTGTGGAATGTCACGCTGATATGTAGCAGTAAACAGGAAACAGTATTTAGACACGGTCTTTCTTATTGTGTACAATGTATACGTATAATGGTTTATATATTTGCTGAAATTTTCATTAAACCCACAAATATTTGTGCCAGGCTTAATTTTGTCTGATCTTTTACTATTTAAAATGTAGAGAAATTAAATCTCAGCAAATATTTCCACCTATATGTAACAGTAGGAAACACAATATCTGTCATACTAGTGTAAGAAGACATCACAAAGAAAATGTTTTGTCATTAACAATTTCCAAAATAATGATAAAAACCATCTAGAAATACCTAATAAAATTATATGATAAATCCAACGTATTTATTCAAATAGATATACAAAAATTCAAATACTACACAAACGTATATGAGTACCAAATTTTGAAATAACCTAGTATAATTCCAATGATTGTAAGTCTTGGAGATAACTATTGAACACTTGAATACCAAAGTCAGTGTATGATCTATCCAGACTTAGGTCTCTTAGACGAGGTATAAAGGGATTTTAATACTCATGTAGATATTTCAGAAATTGTGACAAAATAATGTCATCTATAAATAAAAAAGAAAATTTCTCCATTTTTGGATTTTTTCATGGTACTTTAGTAAAAGAAAGAAACAATCTTTTGCACATCATATTTCCTTGACAGATGGCCGGATAATATAATGTGCCCCGAGGTCAAAGCTAATCTTCCGGGTGAAATGAGCAAATGAAACGTTTGTGGAAAAGAACTTTTATAACCTGAAACTTCTTTCCTTGATATTACACTATAAAAGACAAAATTTCAAGTTCTAAGCCTGAATAGATTGTGGTGGTTGTAAGCCATGGTCAATGATCACACATAACCAATCCTTTTCGGCCTTGCTGATTTACTTGCGTTAAGATATTTATACATGCCTGGTTTTAAGCAAACAATGGTTAAGTTCATAACATTAAAATGATTTCTGTGGAGGGGGAATTTGGAAGTCCCCATCAACAAACATCATCTGTTTCCCAGTATATACGTATCTGTTAAGCCCAATTTTAATAGGGTTTTCTGGCTGATCCTTCTGGCTGATGCTAGACTTTACCGGCAGTCAAATGTCCGTTATTTTACTACTCTATATCTGTTAGATATCCTCTTAACAATGAATAACACATGAAATAACGCCTATCAGAGTGTATATATGAATAAATTTATAATAATAAAAACATATTTGAAATAGATTTATATGACAAATCTTCACCAAAATATACAAACACTGAACACAGATCACATTTTCTGCAACACTTCTTCACTACAGCATTGTAGATTTCCTATTTATACATTTCTCAAAGCAGAACTAGAATCCAATCACAGAGGTGATACAGGATCAGTACAAGCCATGTAAAACACTCAACAGCAAAATAACACTGTTCAAATGCACCATACCTGACCAATAGTGTATTTTAGGTACTGGCAAGCAGTAGCAACATTTCTGGTCTAGTACTTATCACCAAGTAGTAGAAAAAGTTTTATAAAACACCCAGCAGTAGAGACTGGTCTACTATGGTACAACCCAACTATAGAATCAGGTCTATAAAACACCCAGCAGTAAAGACTGGTCTACTATGGTACAACCCAACTATAGAATCAGGTCTCTTATAACAGTCAGCAGTAGAGACTGGTCTACTCTGGTACAACCCAACTATAGAATCAGGTCTATTATAACAGCCAGCAGTAGAAACCGGTCTACTATGGTGCAACCCAACTATAGAATCAGGTCTCTTATAACAGTCAGCAGTAGAGACTGGTCTACTCTGGTACAACCCAACTATAGAATCAGGTCTATTATAACAGCCAGCAGTAGAGACTGGTTTACTCTGGTATCACCCAATTATAGAATCAGGTCTATTATAACAGTCAGCAGTAGAGACTGGTCTACTCTGGTACCACCCAACTATAGAATCAGGTCTATTATAACAGCCAGCAGTAGAAACCGGTCTACTCTGGTACAACCCAACTATAGAATCAGGTCTATTAAACACCCAGCAGTAAAGACTGGTCTAACACCCAGCAGTAGAGACTGGTCTACTCTGGTATCACCCAACTATAGAATCAGGTCTATTATAACAGCCAGCAGTAGAAACCGGTCTACTATGGTGCAACCCAACTATAGAATCAGGTCTATTATAACAGCCAGCAGTAGAAACCGGTCTACTATGGTGCAACCCAACTATAGAATCAGGTCTATTATAACACCCAGCAGTAGAGACTGGTCTACTCTGGTATCACCCAACTATAAAATCAGGTCTATTATAACACCCAGCAGTAGAGACTGGTCTACTCTGGTACCACCCAACTATAGAATCAGGTCTATTATAACACCCAGCAGTAGAAACTGGTCTACTCTGGTACCACCCAACTATAGAATCAGGTCTATTATAACACCCAGCAGTAGAAACAGGTCTACTATGGTATTAGCCCACTGTAGAACAAGGTCTACTTTAAAACACTCAGCAGTAGAAACTGGTCTACTATGGTACCACCCAACTATAGAACCAGGTCTATCATAACACCAAGCGGTAGAAGCTGGTCTACTATAACACCCAGCAGTAGAACCAGGTCTGCTATAACACCCAGCGGTAGAAGCTGGTCTACTATAACACCCAGCAGTAGAAACTGGTCTACTATAACACCCAGCGGTAGAAACTGGTCTACTATAACACCAAGCAGTAGAAACTGGTCTACTATAACACCAAGCAGTAGAAACTGGTCTACTATAACACCAAGCAGTAGAAACTGTTACAAGTTTAGTATTTCTTCTCTTTCCATTGGAAAAGAAACCCATATAGAATAATGGTTCTAAATGTGTTACATTTGTTTCCAGATGTCATGGTGGCTGGTGTGGTTCTATGCAAAACACTGGATAATAACATTGTGACATGGTACATTGATTTTGTGAGAAAATGGTTCTCAACCTATAGACAATAAAGGCTATTCAGTTACATGTTAAAAAAATAAAAATGAAATAAAAAAAAAATTATGTTTTATAAAAAAAAAATATGTTCTATGAAAATTCAATCCTCCCCCTCTACTAACCAAGTTGAACTAGTTAAGCTGATAGTTTAACTATAGTCCCTTGCTTTCTATTAATTGTGAAATGATGAAAAGTTTCCTATAAAACTGAGTAATATGACCAGAACTTGTTTTGCAAGCAAATGAAAAAGGAAAAATGTTTTCAAAAACCAATATGAATATTTACGTTAATAAAAAAACATACATGTTGTAGTTCACATACACAATCAGAAATCTAGCTGTAAACTTGTATTTGTGACAAAATCAATATTGCACATGACTGGACTTCATAAATAAACAAAATAAAACAATATACAAGAGAAAGAAGGTCCAACCAACAGATATGCAATATAATCTATACAAGTTGAATATAGTTACATCAGGTTTCACAAAAATATCTGACACCTGATCTTTTTTATATAGTACCTTGGTTAAATGAAGTCATTCACAGGAACTATGTTTATGTTATCGTTCAGCAATCACTGAAACTTTTCACATTGTACTAGTTTGACCAATAAAAATAAACAACTTATAACCATGAAAATTTACAACAGGGAGACAACTCTTTAGTATCCCAATGTGTATCCTGTTAACAAATTTTACATAAAAAAAAAAAAAAAAATGACATGTAGAGGTCAAAGTTATTGTGCCTCAGTTTGTACCTAAATATCAAAAACAGTGAATCAGTGACCTAGATTTTTGAAACATAAATTATAATAAAAATCATCTGGATTTCTTACTGGGTTTCAGCATAATTCATTTTATAATGGGAATACTCTTATGATGTTTTGTGTATTGTTTTAGTATATCCTAATTGTACCGCTGAAAAAAATCAATTTGTCTGACCCCACTCAATAATATCACAACGCAAAAGAGAATATTTAGCATGCTACCACAGTATCAGACATGTTAAAAAGTAACCTCACAGCACAATGTCACAAAATGCTGTTCAGAGATCTTACAACACAATGTCACAGGAATGTGATGAAAATTCTGGAGAAAATATAGTATCTGTTTGAAGACTCTTGATAATCACATTGTTCCACTGGACAAATCATGAAGCACCCCTATGATACACATCTATACAATCACACACTGCAACTTGAATAGCAATGTTGACTATAACAATATCTAAAGTTGATATATTGTCTGGTACATGACAAGAAAAAGATAAGGTTTGGTACCCCTGGCAATACTGATCCAAAAACAGATTTAAAAAAAAAAAAAAAAATAGGTATGATCGCAGTAAATGCTGAAAATCTGAACAAGAAAAGCCAAAATCTGAAAATTTTAACTGTTCAAATAAAAAATGTAATAATATATACATATCCTCGGTTAAATACTTGCTGCAATATACCTATCTGCTAAAGAGAAGTTCTTATGAGCCCGATTGGTTGAATGTCAAACTAGTAAGCCAGAGGTTCCAGGTTTGAAACCTTTCCAAGGTCTTTATATAAATAATGATCTCTGTTCAGTGACGCCTGTGCAGCGACTCAGAAATAATCATTAGCACTTTCATAAGCATTACAGTAACCCCCTGGAAACTCAGGAACATGTTATTTCCGGGAGAGGAAGTATGTAACCCCTGTAAAAATATTGGCTACAATATATCGCTAGGCTGGAAAGAATTCTCTTCAGCTTAATTGGTTCAAAGTCGGAGTAGCAAGGCATAGGTTACAGATTTGAATCCTAGCGGAGGCAGAGAAATAAATATTAACCTCAGTTACATATATTCCAGAGGTAGATTATCTTGAATGTCCTAAATTCAGTTTCTACGAATTCTTTTTTTTCAAAGACATAATAAATTTATTTAATTTTCATTACAATCTTTATTTGTTAATTTTCGGTTTTGCACTAAGTCTTTTTAAAGCACCAAAATAATTGAACTCAGTGTCTCAACATTACTCACTGTTCTTAACTTTTCAAAATAGGATCTAGCATAACATTTTTTCCCAGAGGTACTAACGAATGATGGAAGAAATTTCATGTTGGGATAATTTGAATTTTGATCCATGAAAAATGAAAAATTGATTTCAACAGCAGTCTGAAGAGTTCAGGTCAGCTGTTTAAGGATCAGTATTGTCAAGAGATCCTTTTTGCTCTGATAATCAGAAGTCAGATCCTTTTTCAGAATAATGGTGGGACACACTCTCTGCAATCAACCCATCAACTGTATATGATCTTCCTCTGGGGACGGTTGACGTTTGTACTCGGGACGTGTGACCACGAAAGCCACCAGGGCAACAAGGGCTACAATCACGATGCCCAGCGTGTTCAGTACGATGCCTTCTGTTGGTAACTTGGAGTACTGACTGTAATACACCAAACAAATACCATCAATGATATTGTCTACTGAACTTATCACAATTAGAAAGATCAGTTATAATTTATTTCAATATTTACTTTTAGAACATTTAAATATTATACCATAACTGTAGTGTTTTTGGTGGTTTTTTTATAGATATAATATTCTTGTGTATAAACTCATGTTTATATATAATATGACCTATTGTGACATCAGGATTAGGAAATCAAATTATGTCACACATCTAAAAGTATGCACAAGGTTATCAACCAATAAATGATATTACACACAATCATGAAATATGAACAATCAAGATTTATGGAGATGAAATCCCAACTACTTATAACTAACAACTTACAATCTAAATATATAAATAATTTTGTATTTAAATCATAAATATGCATCTTACATTTGTTTTTACTTCAAAAAGTAATTAATGAAACATTTTTTTGTTTTCCATATTCTGACTCATAAATCTCGCAAGAAATGTGAAAGTCATTCATGTACTGTTTATAGTATAAAAATGTATACATGTATATTGAAATACATGTAGTGAGCTACCTTACCTCATGTATATATGTTTAAAGTGTAAATATAAGAAAAGCACATGCACTCATGTAAGTTAAAACAAAATCTTGTTATCGACGAAAATTTTCTTTTTTCTACACAATGCTAATTTCTTAGGATTCATCATCATTGTTGATATCTCACATTCAAAAAAAGGGCCATAACTCTGTACTAAAATGAATGATGTGAATCTAGCACTTCTATTACAGTGCTATAATTTAAGTAGCTAATTAATGCCTGGCTCTGTCATTCCATCCCCATAAATCTTTATTATTCATACTTTGCTCCCCTTGTCCAGGAACTTGGTCTGCTTTAATGACGAGTGACTTCTTTTCAATATACACCTCAAGCTATACTTACATCTTATCCTTCAAAAATATGGCTTTCTCTGTGATCCCCATAAGTGCTGTGGCAGCAGCCATACACAGAATACCCACCCCCCAGAACACATGATGAGGCATGTATCGCGCCCGCACTCCTTGTGACAAACCAGGAGCCAGGAAGGTCAGAAATCCTATCACCCACTGTAATAGACAAAACATCAGTAGATTTTTCACAAACCATATAATGATAATAAGGTTCTCAAATAAAACATTCTTCACAAAATATGAACATTTCAATAAAAATATACATTGCTACCCACACTAAGAGTAATAAGAACTGATAGAAGCAATCAGATATACTGTGTGTTTTCGTATGCTATTAATTAGTTTTCAACACTGTGTTAACACCACAAGGATCCATACTAGCTGTTTCAGATTTTAAGGGTTACAGATCAATGTATCATTCTCTGTTTATCAGTGTCAAGAAAAATTTCAATTACTGCATCTTTTATCATATGTCTTGCTTTACAGCAAATGTATGCAAAGTTATTTTCAAAAGGTCAAATTGATGAGGCATTTTTTAATTAACCAAGATTATCATTTTTTTCCCAAGGTTTTTTTCTCTTTTTTATGACCTCGTTTCATCTTTGAAAATAGAACCAATAAAATGGTAATTATCATTACAATTCAGAGAAAGAGCAACCATTTATGACATATGAATTTGTGATTGAATCGACTGACCTGCAAACCAAACAATATGACTGTGATAAGGCCAAGCCAGCTGTGAAGACTGTACAAGTTGGGGATAGGATTGGCTAAGAGATTGTGGGAATCAAACACTGCCTTCAGTCCAACTGAGGCAAAAATCAGTGCTCCTAGGTGTATCATCCCATGCATGACTTTAATGTACATCTTCTTCACATTGCGGAACACTCTGTATGCCAGGATAGCTTGAAATCAAAAGATAATTAGAAATTAATACAGATCTGAATTATTTTCAATTTCCAATTATCATACTTATTCAGCATTATTAGTGTATTTGACCTTACTATATGAGTACAGGATGATGAATCTGATGACCGCACTATCTGACCTTACAATCTGAGTACAGGAAGATGAATCTGATGAACACACTATCTGACCTTACCATCTCAGTATAGAGAGATGATGACAATACTATCTGACCTTACCATCTGAGTATAAGAAGATGAATCTGATGACCGCACTATCTGACCTTACAATCTGAGTATTGGAAGATGAATCTGATGAACACACTATCTTACCTTACCATCTGAGTACAGGAAGATGAATCTGATGAACACACTATCTTACCTTACCATCTGAGTACAGGAAGATGAATCTGATGAACACACTATCTGACCTTACCATCTGAGTATAGAGAGATGATGACAATACTATCTGACCTTACCATCTGAGTATAAGAAGATGGATCTGATGACTGCAATATCTGACCTTACAATCTGAGTATTGGAAGATGAATCTGATGAACACACTATCTTACCTTACCATCTGAGTACAGGACCTTACCATTTGAGTATAGGAAGATGAATCTGATGACCACACTATCTGACCTTACCATCTGAGTATAGAGAGATGATGACAATACTATCTGACCTTACCATCTGAGTATAAGAAGATGAATCTGATGACCACACTATCTGACCTTACAATCTGAGTATAGGAAGATGAATCTGATGACCACACTATCTGACCTTACCATTTGAGTATAGGAAGATGAATCTGATGACCACACTATCTGACCTTACCATCTGAGTATAGGAAGATGAATCTGATGACCACACTATCTGACCTTACCATCTGAGTACAGGAAGATGAATCTGATGACCACACTATCTGACCTTACTATATGAGTACAGGATGATGAATCTGATGACCACAGTACCTGACCTTACCATCTGAGTACAGGAAGATGAGTCTGATGAACACACTATCTGACCTTACCATCTGAGTATAGAGAGATGATGACCGCAATATCTGACTTTACAATCTGAGTACAGGAAGATGAATCTGATGAACACACTATCCGACATTACCATCTGAGTATAGAGAGATGATGACAATACTATCTGACCTTACCATCTGAGTATAGAAAGATGATGACAATACTATCTGACCTTACCATCTGAGTATAAGAAGATGAATCTGATGACCGCACTATCTGACCTTACAATCTGAGTATTGGAAGATGAATCTGATGAACACACTATCTGACCTTACTATATGAGTACAGGATGATGAATCTGATGACCACACTATCTGACCTTACCATCTGAGTACAGGAAGATGAATCTGATGACCACACTATCTGACCTTACCATCTGAGTACAGGAAGATGAGTCTGATGACCACACTATCTGACCTTACCATCTGAGTACAGGAAGATGAATCTGATGAACACACTATCTGACCTTACCATCTGAGTATAGAGAGATGATGACAATACTATCTGACCTTACCATCTGAGTATAAGAAGATGAATCTGATGACCGCACTATCTGACCTTACCATCTGAGTATAGCAAGATGATGACAATACTATGTGACTTACCATCTGCGTATAAGAAGATGAATCTGATGACCACACTATCTGACCTTACCATCTGAGTATAGCAAGATGATGACAATACTATCTGACCTTACCATCCGAGTATAGAGAGATGATGACAATACTATCTGACCTTACCATCTGAGTATAAGAAGATGAATCTGATGAACACACTATCTGACCTTACTATATGAGTACAGGATGATGAATCTGATGACCACACTATCTGACCTTACCATCTGAGTACAGGAAGATGAATCTGATGAACACACTATCTGACTTTACCATCTGAGTACAGGAAGATGAATCTGATGAACACACTATCTGACCTTACCATCTGAGTACAGGAAGATGAATCTGATGAACACACTATCTGACCTTACCATCTGAGTACAGGAAGATGAATCTGATGAACACACTATCTGACCTTACCATCTGAGTACAGGAAGATGAATCTGATGAACACACTATCTGACCTTACCATCTGAGTACAGGAAGATGAGTCCAATGACCATGAATACAGGATGATAGTTAAACTCCTTGGCAGGGTCACTTGTCCAAGCAAAGCCATCACGGAAGTGTCCCATCCACACTGCCACAAGGATTACTGCGGCCAAACCCAAGCCCTGAACGAGTAACACTAGACCGGTGAAGGATCCAAGATTGCCACCAGTGGGTGCATCGTGCTTATCATAGTTTTCCATCGCCGGTCCCGTTCTGTGAGTAAAATTATCCTCATTAAATCTAATTACAGTGATCATTCATTATGTCTATGTTATATAAATAGATGGACTGCTCATACATTTCCATAACACTGAACAACAGGAGTAGATTGATTCATAAATACTGTCAATTCTAAAATAATGATTATGTTACTCATTTTTCAAGTAGATAATCCATGATTAACTCATGAATTATGACACTAGCAAAAATATGGTGGTTATCTTTACAGAAAGTGAGTAAAACGACATGATAAAATGTATCATGCAAATGCTATGCCTTTTTCTGACCATTTTAAGCGACAATTGTTAAGAACAATATAAGATAATGCAATGTGTTTTTCTGACCATTTTCAGAGACAATTGTTCAGCATAATATAAAATAATGCAATGCGTTTTTTCTGATCCATTACAAGTATAAGACGTAGCTATGCATGACAAACATCATTAGTATCCAGGATAATATTAACAAAATTTTGCTCTGGTTTTCTCACTAACTATTCAATGTTAAAACACATAACCTGAAGGTTAACATGGTTTAGGTGTATATAACTATACAATGTTAAAACTCAGAACCTGAATGTTAACATGGTTTAGGTGTATATAACCATACAATGTTAAAACTCAGAACCTGAATGTTAACATGGTTTAGGTGTATGTAATCATACAATGTTAAAACTCAGAACCTGAATGTTAACATGGTTTAGGTGTATGTAATCATACAATGTTAAAACTCAGAACCTGAATGTTAACATGGTTTAGGTGTATACAACCATACAATGTTAAAACTCAGAACCTGAATGTTAACATGGTTTAGGTGTATACAATCATACAATGTTAAAACTCAGAACCTGAATGTTAACATGGTTTAGGTGTATACAATCATACAATGTTAAAACTCAGAACCTGAATGTTAACATGGTTTAGGTGTATATAATCATACAATGTTAAAACTCAGAACCTGAATGTTAACATGGTTTAGGTGTATACAATCATACAATGTTAAAACTCAGAACTTGAATGTTAACATGGTTTAGGTGTATACAATCATACAATGTTAAAACTCAGAACCTGAAAACATGGTTTAGGTGTATAAAACCATACAAAGTTAAAACTCAGATTTTTATGAATACTGTCAGACAAAATGCACCTATATCAACGGCAAGTTTTGGTGATAACATATATAACATAAAATTATTTTTTTATGTATTAAATGTAATTTTAATGTCAAACAATCTATAAAGCCAATTATGATTTCAAGAATTGCTTATATATAATTTCAGAAACTTTCATATACTTGTAAATTGTAGCAGGGCATTGATATAATACATGCGAGTTATGATACAAAAAGCCTACATGAAGAAACCTACAGGCATTATCACTTTAGTCAAATTATATTGCTATGTAAGCTTCAACAACATACAAAATCTGACAAGAAGTTTGGGGACTGTCATTTAGTTTATTGCAAGACAATGAACAGAATGGCTTTTTTATACAAAATCAGGCAACCAAGACAGTTGGGCTTAATACCAGACAAGGGCACACATTATGTAGCTATGGGATTTTCAAAGGTTTTTTTTCCATGGTAAAATGAAAGAATCTGTGTTGGCCACCATCATTGATTGTTGGAATTATCTGTACTCGAAAAACTTGACAATTTATTTAAGAACAACAATAAGGAATAAGATAATTAAAGTGCATATTATGTAAACTAATGGAGTCAATTTCATGTACAAGAGATCCCAGTGGGATCTTGGCGCCCACCATTTGAGGATCTGTTTTCAATTCTTGAAAATTTGCTTATTTTTTTTTTTTTTTTGGTTACAGGTGTTGTAATTTTTCATGAACTGGTCTTCATTGAAATGTACTCAATGATTGCATAAGATATTCTTATTAAGCACCTTTTAGCAAATATCATTTGAAAAAGATCCCAATGTATTATTAGATAGCAGTCAGTTACAGGTGGATAATGGACATGGTCTTGAATAAATATGATCGAATATCAAAGAAAATATTGTGCTGTATTACTGTTGAGATCCAAGATGAGTGCCTGTGTGCCACCTTGATTTCAAATCAGTCCAAAAAAGGTATAATGCACAACTAGGGACCAAGGGGAACCTGCATATAAAATTTGAGAAAGATCCATCCAGTACTTTTCCAGAAATAGCGGTAACAAGAATTGTTTACGGACAGGCGGACGACGGACCACGGACGCAGGGTGATTTGAATGGCCCACCATCTGATGATGGTGGGCTAAAAATCAGGACGAATGTTTGAAAATGTGATAGCAACTAGCAAGACAGAAAACTAAAGATTGGCAAGCAAAGACAAAGCCCTGTTTAGGAAATTGAAAAATAGGTCAATCAAAATATGATTATCTTTTAAAACATTTACATGTTTAAATGTTCAGAAATTGGCAGGTTTCATTTTATTTTCTTTCACGTTGGATATCACAATGAAGCAGAAGCTACGAGTGAGTACATGTCTGTTTTCATCTATATAAGTGGAAGTAAGCCTTAATTATTGTGATCAGACTACATCAAGCACAGTTTTTAGCAAGAGATCCCAGAAGGATCTTGGGGCCAATCATTGTTTAATCTTCATTTCCTCTTTAAAAGTTGGATCTTTTCCCTCATTTCTCTGCTCTGCTTTTGCTTTTCTTGATAAGAAATTTGAACATTCCATAGCAGAAATAGCAATGATAAAATTTACCTACCAAATCCAAGATGGTCACCTGGAAGCCATTTTGTTTTTAGTGATCAGTCCCAAAATCAAACGAGCACAAGAAGAAAATAAAGGGAGCAAACATGAAATTAGAGAGAGATCAATTCATTACTTCTAAAGAAAGAGGGATAAAAATCTTTTACTAGGTGAAATCAAAGATGGCTGCCCATTGGTCATTTTCTTTTTCTGATAAGTACCAAAATCAAACAGGTACAACTACGGTCAAAGGAAACCTACATATGAAATCAAAGAGTGATCCATTGAGAATTTCTCAAGAATTAGGGCTAACAAACTTTACTTTATGAAATCTTATATGCTGTTTGGTAAAATATTACCTGTTGTGTATGTTGTGTGGTTAGTTTAGGTTTAGATATGCTGTATCATGAAATCCTACTGTGTGTATGTTGTGTGGTTAGATTAGGTGTAGACATGCTGTATCATGAAATCCTACTGTGTGTATGTTGTGTGGTTAGATTAGGTGTAGACATGCTGTATGGTGAAATCCTACTGTGTGTATGTTGTGTGGTTAGATTAGGTGTAGACATGCTGTATGGTGAAATCCTACTGTGTGTATGTTGTGTGGTTAGATTAGGTGTAGACATGCTGTATCATGAAATCCTACTGTGTGTATGTTGTGTGGTTAGATTAGGTGTAGACATGCTGTATGGTGAAATCCTACTGTGTGTATGTTGTGTGGTTAGTTTAGGTGTAGACATGCTGTATGGTGAAATCCTACTGTGTGTATGTTGTGTGGTTAGTTTAGGTGTAGACATGCTGTATGGTGAAATCCTACTGTGTGTATGTTGTGTGGTTAGATTAGGTGTAGACATGCTGTATGGTGAAATCCTACTGTGTGTATGTTGTGTGGTTAGATTAGGTGTAGACATGCTGTATGGTGAAATCCTACTGTGTGTATGTTGTGTGGTTAGATTAGGTGTAGACATGCTGTATGGTGAAATCCTACTGTGTGTATGTTGTGTGGTTAGTTTAGGTGTAGACATGCTGTATGATAAAGAACTATCTGTAGTTAGAGTGTCCAGTTATTTAGTACAGTTGTAGCTGTAGATTTAGATTGTGATCACTTCATGTCAAGTAACATGTAGATTGTTATGGTATGGTGCCTTCTTGATGGGGTTGACTTGAACAGAGCGGAACTCATTACAATGTCTTGTCACATGTACTATGGCAGGTAATTTTCCTTATAGCTATATATGTATTTCCTGATCCTGATCATGAGCATCTCATTCAGCATCAACAAAGCAGGAAGTAACAAGTAGCACATGCATGTCTGTGGACAACATTCAAACTACATGCCATCCCAGAGGGATCTTTAATTGGCACCCTCAATTGTTTGATCTTTATTTGCTCTTTGAAAGTTGGATCATTTCACTTCTTTTCTCTTTTCTTCTGTTTGTGCTCTTTATGATAAAAAATTTGAACATTTGTTTGCAGAAACGGTAATAATAATGTTTACTTGCCTAATTCAAGATGGTCATTGAAAGTCATTTGATTTTCTTTAATTTTTTGCTATTCAGTCCCAAAATCAAATGGACAAAATCCAATATGGCTGTCTGTCGACTATTTCAATTTTTTTGAGTCCCAAACTCCAACAGGCATAAATGGGGACAAAGAGGAACCTGTACATGAAATTTGAGAAAAATCTATGCTGTAGTTATCAAGAAATAGCAAAAACAAACCTTCTAGGTCAAAATCTAAGATTGAAGTCTATTGGCCATTTTCTTTTTCTGATCAGTCCCAAAATTAAAATCAAATATGTAAATTGCCATCACATATTCAAAATCAAATGTAAGGTTACACAATTTAGGGAGACAGAAAGAAGAGACAAAAGTTGTTTCAGAAGAAGCGAAAATACAAAATCCCACGTTCAGTCTCTTCTTAGACAAATGATCACACGATGCGGACAGGTACATATTCTGCTCACTTGTAGGACAGTGGGTACCTTTTAAAAATCCTGATAAAGACATGTAGATAAAAGATGAAGTCAACTCCTATTGTTAATGCAAGCTGGAAGCTAGAGGCGAAGACCAACTTTTGTGTTAGTTAAGGTATAGGCAAGTTGGAAGGTGAAGCCCTTTTTGTGTGTAATTTTATATTAAGTTTGGGCAAGTTAGAAAGTGAAGTTCTACATGTGTACATTAGTTTAGGTATAGGCAAGCTAAAGTATATAGGTAAAGAGTCAAGCATTCGGTTATTCTGCCTACCTGAGTACGTTCTGATAAATATCAGCAGTTTCAGGGTTTGGTTCTGTCATCTTTCATGAGCTGTGACTGTAGAACTATACAGAAAGCAAAATGTTGGACCTTAGCATGTTAATGTAACAACTGTAATATGAATGATGTGTGTAGGAGATGTGATATAATGGTGTAATACATCAGGAACATGTACTTAAATGCATGAGAGAGATATCTCTGAAGTGATCAAACTGGTGAAATTTATCGCATGATAAACTATTTACAAGTGTTTATGACATAACTATCATGTAATTATCTCAAATGTATATTCCTTGGAAACAGGATACTGTTTCTATCAGGATACTATTTCTGTCAATAACAGCTAGGATTACTTATTGTATGTGCATGTGTATATATTTCCAGCCTTTATTTAACATCTCAACCACCGATATACACTGCTACAAAATAAAAATATTGACCATTTTTTCCTCTCATCTGCATTTCAATAACCATAATAAAAATGGCCAGTTTCAAGTTTCAGCAGTATTACAGATAAAATATTTTTTTAGTGACTATCAATGACAATTCTCAAATAAAGAAGAACAGAACATATGAAGATTCTAGTTATTTCTTCAGTCTAAGCTGAGTTGTCACAAGTTGTTTTGTTAAGACAGTTACACAGGATAACATCAAATTTAATTGATAATCAGTTCTGATTTGTTGAACTTAAATGACAAAGAGGATATTTGACAGTCTTCAGTTACAACAAATATATTGCAATTTCCCTTTGATCCTTGGGGGACCAGACCCTTTAATTTCACAATTTTGAACAGTCTGGTCCTAAGAATACTTTTGCAAAAATGAAACTTAGCTAACTGGTTTAACAAAGCATTTTAAAATTACACATTTTCTATAAGCTATATAAACTACAGAACTTCGTTTCCTCACCTGATGTCACTTATACACAGTTAAGACAGCTCTGAATTTCACAATTTTGATGAAGCACCTTATGGACAAATGTAAAAGAATTATTATTCTGACATTCCCAAAGGATGTTTGTAGCCAATTCCTTCAAGTGGGATTAAAACTGGTTGGTTGGTTTAGTAGAAATGTCAAAAATAGCTATCACAATATGTATTATGGTTAAATTCACCCCTACTCTAGGGACACACTTAGATGAAGACTTCTCTAAAGACCCTAGAGGTCTTTTCAAATGTGAATGAAGAGTAGTTTTGAACGTTAAAAAAAAGTATTTTTGAAAATTTGAACATTTCGTCCCTTTGGAGGCCCCCTAGCTTCCCTAGCTCCTTTGGGGTCAGACCAATTTATCACAAAAAAAAAAAATTGAAAAATATGACTAAAACTGGCCAAGATGTTTTTTAAGGAGATATTGAGAATGTGAAAATTAAGTTTGTGCACAATGGTAGACAAAATACAATGGCAAGGTTATCCTGACCCTTCAGGTAAGATGACCTCACAAAAACAAGCTAATCAAAACTTAATATTTCTTATAACGTAATTTTCTTTTCAAACAATTTGCAACGTTTCCCTTCTTTTTCAAACACCGCTTTTTCATACTTTCATCCTTATAAAAAGAACTTTGATGTATGTAAAAAGAATAAACCCATTTATGAGGACAGATGTCATGTTTATATATCTTTATTCTGTACTATACACCTTGTATATATCCCAGTATGTATATGCCTGTCCAACATTTGAGGCAATTACCTGCACATAATAAACAAATTATTATTAGTTACGTCATCCAAGCTACTTTCTTTAATTGCAATTGTCAACCTGGTGAACTCATGGGACTGTAGGATTATTTATTTTGTGTACACACCTTTTAATCTGTTTACTACACTTGTGGATGTTGTTGATAGCTACACATACTAATTTAACACCACAAACCGGAACTATCTCAATCTGATGACAGTTCTCACGCAACAGAGGGAATATTTTAACTGAATAAGAACTTGGAATAGACTTTTCTTTGAATAAAAGGACATCCCATAGACTCAATACTATTAGTCATGTAATGAAGATTAATTATCAAACTAAATGTACACTTGATTCTATTCCAAGCTAAATTTAACAAAAAAACTGATCGATTGAGGCACATTTACATTTCTATATTTACTTCAGATTTTTTATCAATTTATCATAAATTTATCACTAACTCAAAGCAGGTGGTAATTCAGTAGGGAAATCGTTTATCTAAAAGGCAGTCAATGAGAAGAACTAGCAGTTAGATATTTTACCAGGTATTGAAAATCAGGTACATGATTGTATAATGCAACTGCTTTGTATGCATGTCTATAATTTTCACACCTACCTTTATTTATATAATGAAATTTAATTTGCCTTTTAGACAAGGTTTTAGAAAATGTAAAAGAAATATGTGTAACTATTTCAAAGAATCTCAACAAATTTTGTTCTACTTTTTTTTTCTGAACACTAGCATGCATAAAAAGAAAAAAACATACAATGTAGGATAATATATTCATTATACATGCACCTAATATTTCTGCCCTACGCTGTAGATGTAGGGGACTTTTAAGAATATTTTTTCCATACTCATAAAAGTGAAAACCTCAATTCTTATGTATAGAAACTTGGAATATCAAATGTAGACGTTACATATCTTTTCCTTTCTGTATAAATGGATTTGACGATTTAAAAAAAACGATAATTATTTGCCACCGGGAATTCTGAGCATACATTATACATTTTGTATAACAATATAACAAGTAGATCAGAATGACGAGACACACGATTGTAACTGGTGCAATAAGTTCACAGAACTTTGCAACAAGATACACACATATTGTAGTAATATCACCTGTCAGCCTGATATAAATAAACATTCTAAAATGTTTGAAATTTCCATTTGATATCAAGTGACATGCTTGACAGGTAGGTATAAAAACAAAATTCTTTTGTACATTTTTTATGAACTTAAATGCAAAATTTATTCAGGATGATTTTTAAGTATGCACATGAACATTATTTACAGAGATTTTATCAAATGATCGCAAATGTAAATAAACATATAAATCTTAGAAACCATAGACAACTGTTATATAAATGCACCCATGCATGCATACTGAAGACCTTTCATGATCTTAAGACTTTTTTTTAACCCAATTATTTATATTTATCAATGTTTGCTAGGTCAAAAGAGCTCAGCTATATAATGAAACGGATCCTTCATTGAAAAAAAAAAAAAAAAAAATTGTCACCTTTATCCTTTATGAATTTCCAATAGCAATTCAGGACAAGTGCACTGTGTTTACTTAGCAGTAGACCATCCCAGTTGAATTGCAGTAATTGGCCAGTAGTAGCATGCAGACGCCATTTTGTTACTTTCTCCATTGGTAATTATAAAACCTGCAGTAGTTTTTCAGTAATTTCAGTTATGTAAATTAACCTACAATACTACTGCATTACTACTGCCTCTGTAGTAGTGTACAAACACCCCATGGTGTGGTATACATGTCATTGCCCCTGTAGTAGTGTACAAACACCCCATGGTGTGGTATACATGTCATTGCCCCTGTAGTAGTGTACAAACACCCCATGGTGTGGTATACATGTCATTGCCCCTGTAGTAGTGTACAAACACCCCATGGTGTGGTATACATATTATTGCCCTGGTAGTAGTGTACAAACATCTCATGGTGTAGTATACATGTTATTGCCCCTGTAGTAGTATACAAACACCCCATGGTTTGGTATATATGTTATTGCCCCTGTAGTAGTATACAAACACCCTATGGTGTGGTATACATGTCATTGCCCCTGTAGTAGTGTACAAACACCCCATGGTGTGGTATACATGTCATTGCCCCTGTAGTAGTGTACAAACACCCCATGGGTGTGGTATACATGTTATTGCCCCTGTAGTAGTGTACAAACACCCCATGGTGTAGTATACATGTTATTGCCCCTGTAGTAGTATACAAACACCCCATGGTGTAGTATACATGTCATTGCCTGTAGTAGTATACAAACACCCCATGGTGTAGTATACATGTTATTGCCCCTGTAGTAGTGTACAAACACCCCATGGTGTAGTATACATGTCATTGCCCCTGTAGTAGTGTACAAACACCCCATGGTGTGGTATACATGTCATTGCCTCCGTAGTAGTATACAAACACCCCATGGTGTAGTATACATGTCATTGCCCCTGTAGTAGTATACAAACACCCCATGGTGTAGTATACATGTTATTGCCCCTGTAGTAGTATACAAACACCCCATGGTGTGGTATACATGTCATTGCCCCTGTAGTAGTATACAAACACCCCATGGTGTGGTACACATATTATTGCCCTGGTAGTAGTGTACAAACACCCCATGGTGTGGTATACATGTCATTGCCCCTGTAGTAGTGTACAAACACCCCATGGTGTAGTATACATGTCATTGCCCCTGTAGTAGTATACAAACACCCCATGGTGTAGTATACATGTCATTGCCCCTGTAGTAGTGTACAAACACCCCATGGTGTGGTATACATGTCATTGCCCCTGTAGTAGTATACAAACACCCCATGGTGTGGTATACATGTCATTGCCCCTGTAGTAGTATACAAACACCCCATGGTGTGGTACACATATTATTGCCCTGGTAGTAGTGTACAAACATCTCATGGTGTAGTATACATGTTATTGCCCCTGTAGTAGTGTACAAACACCCCATGGTGTAGTATACATGTCATTGCCTGTAGTAGTATACAAACACCCCATTGCCTGTAGTAGTATACAAACATCCCATAGTGTACTATGCATGTCATTGCCCCTGTAGTAGTATACAGAACACCCCATGGTGTGGTAACACCCCATGGTGTAGTATACATGTCATTGCCCCTGTAGTAGTGTACAAACACCCCATGGTGTGGTATACATGTTATTGCCCCTGTAGTAGTGTACAAACACCCCATGGTGTAGTATACATGTTATTGCCCCTGTAGTAGTATACAAGCACCCCATGGTGTAGTATACATGTCATTGCCACTGTAGTAGTAAACAAACACCCCATGGTGTAGTATACATGTCATTGCCTGTAGTAGTATACAAACACCCCATGGTGTAGTATA